TATCTAATAATATGCAGTCCTCTTTCAGAATTTGTCACTTTTATCTCAGCGGTTCTTTATAACAATTATTTTTCTCATGTACTGTCATTAATTGTCATGTCTTGTTAGTCTAATCTGGAATACTTCCTTAGCTTTTGTCTTTTATGAAAGTGACATTTTTGAAGTGTAGTCCAATAGTTTATAGAATTTCTTTAAAATTGGGTTTGCCTTATTGTTTTCTCATTAAATTCAGATTATGCATTTTTTCATAGCTTTATTGAAATATATTTCACATACCATAAAATCGACCCACTTAAGTTGTACAGCTTAGTGGTTTTTGATATATTCACAGAGTTGCACAACCATCACTACTGTCTAATTTTAGAATATTTTCAAACTCCAAAATGACATTAGCAGTCATTCTCAATTCCTGCTCTTCTCCCCACCCCTACCATCCCAGTCCTAGGCAACCACTAATTTATTTTGTCTCTATGAATTTGCCTGTTCTAGACACTGCATATAAATGTAATCACAAAAATGTGGATTTTTTTTTTTTTTTTTTTTTACTGGTTTCTGTCACTCAACATAATGATTTCAAGGTTTATCCTTGTTGAAGCATGTACTGGTATGCCAGCCATTCTTTTTTATTACCAATTAATATCCCAGTGTACAGATATACCCCATTTTGTTAATCAGTTCATCAGTTGATGGACATAGGTTGTTTTCACTTCTTGCCTGTTACGAATAGTTTGTTTTTTATTTAAGAACATTTATTTATTTATTTGTTTGATTTTTGGCTGTGTTGGGTCTTCGTTGCTGCGTGTGGGCTTTCTCTAGTTGTGGCGAGTCGGGGCTACTCTTCGTTGCGGTGCGCGGGCTTCTCATTGCGGTGGCTTCTCATTGCAGAGCACGGGCTGTAGGCACGTGGGCTTCAGTAGTTGTGGCTCGCAGGCTCTAGAGCGCAGTCTCAGTAGTTGTGGCGCACAGGCTTAGTTACTCCAGGGTATGTGGGATCTTCCCGGACCAGGGATCGAACCCATGTCCCCTGCATTGGCAGGCGGATTCTTAACCACTGTGCCACCAGGGAAGTCCCTGAGTGTGTGTTTTTAATTCTCTTGGGTATGGAGAGTGGAATTTCTGGATCACGTGGTAGTTCTATGTTTAGCATTTTGATGAACTGCCAAACTGTTTTGAAAGCAGCTACACCATTTTACCTTCCCACCGGCAATGCGTTGATATCAGGGTTCCAATTTCTCTGCATCTTCACTGATACTTGTTATTGTCTATCATTTTCATTTGCTATCCTAGTGAGTGTGACGTGGTATCTTATTGGTTTTTATTTGCATTTCGCTAATAACTTATGATATTGAGCATCTTTTCATGTGTTTATTGGCCATTTGCATTTCTTATTTGGAGAAATGTCTATTTAGATTCTTTGCCCATTTTTTATTTTTATTTTTTGGAATGGTAAGTTTTTTATATATTCTGGATAAAAGTCCCTTGTTAGAGATATAATTTGCAATTGTTTTATCCCATTTTGTGAGTTGTCTTTTCACTTTCTTACTTGTGTTCTTTGAAGCACAAAAGATTTTTATTTTAATAAAGTCCAATTAATCCATTTTTTTAGTTGCTTTTGCCTTTTTGGTGTTGTATCTAAGAAATTGTTGCCTAACCCAATATAATGAAGATATACTCCTATGTTTTCTTCTAGGAGTTTTATAGTTTTAACTATTATATTTAGGTCTGTGATCCAGTTTGAGTTTGACCCATTTTGAGACCATGTTTAATTTTTGTTTATAGTGTGAGGTAGAGGTCCAACTAAGTCTTTTGCATGTGGGTATCCAGTTTCCTTAACACCATTTGTTAAAAATGTTCTTCTTTCCCCACTTAATTCTCTTGGTACTCTTGTAAAAAATCAATTTACCGTAGATACAAGCGTTGAATTTTGGACTCTCAGTTCCTTTTCATTGATGTATAAGTCTGTCCTTAGGCCAATACCACACTTTCTTGATTACTCTTGCTTTGTAGTAAGTTTCAAAATTGAGAAGTGTGAGTCTTTCAACCTTGTTCTTTCTTTACAAGATTGTTTTGGTTTTCCTGGGTCCCATATGAATATTAGGATCAGCTTGTTGATTTCTGGGAGGAAAAAAAAGCAGCTAGGATTTGGATGGCGATTGTGCTGAATCACTTCATCACTTTGGGGAATATTGCCATTTTAATAATGGTAAGCATTTCAGTTTGTGAACATAGGCTATCTTTCCATTTGTTTAGATCTTAATTTCTTTCAGCAATGTTTTATAGTTTCAAGTGTACAAGTCTTACAGTTCTGTTGTTAAATTTTTTTCTAGGTAGCTCATTTTTTTTTTTAATTTATTTATTTATTTTTGACTGTGTTGGGTCTTCATTTCTGTGCGTGTGCTTTCTCTAGTTGCAGCACGTAGGGGCTACTCTTCATCGCGGTGTGCGGGCCTCTCACTGTCGCGTCCTCTCTTGTTGTGGAGCACAGGCTCCAGACGCGCAGGCTCAGTAGTTGTGGCTCACGGGCCCAGTTGCTCCGCGGCATGTGGGATTTTCCCAGACCAGGGCTTGAACCCGTGTCCCCTGCATTGGAAGGCAGATTCTCAACCACTGCGCCACCAGGGAAGCCCAAGGTAGCTCATTTTTTTTAAGTACTTATTTTCTTTCTGTTACAAGATACTCTATGCCTGTCTTGTTCATTTCTTCACCCAGACTTAAAATGAGCCATTTCTCCAAGGAGCCCTGATTCTGTATAATGGGTAATGGTATTTAGAAAACATTATCAGAATGCTCAGTGTGTTCTAAAATACTCATTGTAGAGAGGAAACTAAGGCTCTCTGAGCTTAAATATCTTGTTTGTTGGCCTTCTGCAGATACTATTGTCAAGTAAAATGAGCCAGAATTGTTTGGAGAACACTGCATTCATGTTTGCAGCCAGAATAAATAAGACTGGTCTGGAATATATTATTGTTGTGAGATAGCAAGAATACTTTCCAAGATGTTTAGAAGTACTGACAAAGATGCCAGTTTCAAAGACCTTTTATTGGCTGAATTTTGATAATTTAAATTTGAAAAAGAAGACCATGATTATAATAACTAGAACTAGTTGAAGCTGTAAAAAGCCCTAAGTCCATGATAATGCTCAAAAAGAACAGATTGTGTTCCATAAAATCATACCTATATATGTCTGGGGATCTATGGTCCTCAGTTACAAAATACACAAAAATATATACCTCATGGTTACTGGCTAAATAACTCATCAAGGATCAAGGAGTAGACTGTGGAGAAATGGACCTGTAACTGTGGTCCTTAGACCATGTTCAGTATAAGAACCTCCCCAATACAAGTGTGGTTGTACATATGTTGAAGGAGCCTTCAAGGAAGTCTGGGGCTTAGTTCTGGACAAATGCCCAGGGAAGCTTGGGATTTGACCTATAACCCACCTACCTCTCAGTAAATTCCCCCATGCTAGGTGTACATTGTGTACATATATCAGGTTAGCTGGCAAACACTTTCCAGAATCTCAAGCAGTGGGAGAAGTCAGGAAGCTATAACACTCCCCTCCTATCAGGAGTATAAAGTAGGTGCTGCATATCCCTGCAAAAAACCTTCATTCTGTTTGGTTAGTATCACTGGCAACTGTGTATTTCCACGAGGATTCTAGGGACCCAGGATGCTGTACAGGATGAAGTGTTGTCTAATTTCTATTTTTCCTATTTTAATGAAAGTCATATAGTTCTTTTTGTGTTTATCCTTCCCAATTGACACATTTATAGGAAAGAAAAAGTAGACAATTTTGACAGCTGTTGAAGATTCTTTATGTACAATGTGAGTCTTTGGAACTAGCAATTAGAAGGTTACAATTTGTGTATTAAACTGGTAGAATAATATAAATTAACTAAATGATAATCCTTAAGTGTATTCACAGTTGTTATACCCTTTGATCTTCAGCATTTTTGAAGTGTGTACCATAAATCCCATTGTTTGACTACGAGCGCTCATATTTTTGAGCAAAATTACTATTACTATTTTCCTGTCAACCAGAAAACTATTCTTATATCATATACAAAAGTTTAGAATGTTTATTTATGGAAAATTAAATAGTAATTTCACTATAACATGATAATGATATATTTTTTAAAAAAGGCAAAAGACAAAGGGTTTGTGGGATGAGTGTGATGTGAAGAATTTTCAGGTCACTCTGAGGTCTGACAGAATGATTATATAATTGTATATTTCCCAAGTGAACCATTCTAAGAGGAGTTGAACAATATTGCATGCAATTGGGATTTGTTGTTTTATAAAAGAATTTATTGATATAATTACAAACTATATCCATGAGAAGTGGCTGTTAGTGAAGAAAATACATGGTGAAAGGCAATTAGCATAAGCATATCCAGTCTTTGATCTTAGTGATATAAATATATTCTTTACTAAGAATATGTGAATCCTTTGTTTCTATTAGTTTGACCAATATCCTGAGTATCTCTGAGCAGAAAACATTCATGTTCACCTGTTGAGCAGGCCTCTGATGACTTCAGGAAGACTAGACAATTTTTTCTTTTGTCTTATTGGTGAAATCACCCCATAAGTTCTAACTATCCTATCTGATTTGCTCTCTTCTTTTTAAAATTGGAAGTTTTATCTCTGAACTTATTTAAAAGATATTATACTACTCATTTTAAAAAGGATTTAATGTAGCATCTTCTAGAAGGGGTTAGTTTTTGATGTCTTATGTAGCTACTAAGTATTTTCTATCTTAGTGCATATCTCTCCTTCATGTATTTTTTTTTATTTGGAATGGTCCTTTGGGAGAATTAAAGTATTTTCCAGGAACTCTGATGACTCAGTTGAATTATAAAACATCAACTTGTAAGTGAGCAGCTCTGGTCATTCCAACATGGACAGGTTATGAGTAAAGATAGTAGGAAGGACTAGGTTTAGAGGACTGATATATTGGATATAACAGGAAATCAAGGGATGAGGTGTGTTGCAGTGCAGTTTAGATCCATGAGGGCTATTCTAAGAAAACTATGCCTAGACACATTACAAAATGAAACCCTAAGATAAAGAGAAAATCTTGAAAGCAGACAGAGGAAAGTGATGCTTTACATACAAAAGAACAGTGATTCAAATGCCAACAGATTTTTCATCAGAAATCAGTGGCCATAAACGAAAACGAAAACAACAAAAGAAATCATAGTGGCCAGGAGACTTTAAAACTGAAACTTCAGTCAACCCAAAATTCTGTGTCCAGTGAAAATATCCTTCAGAAATGATGGCAAATTTAACACAATTTTATAAATGGAAAACTAAGAGAGATTTGTCTCCAGCAGACCTGTACTACAAGAAATGGTAGTGGAAGTTCTTCAAAGGAAAAAAGAATATTAACAGAAAAGTTGGATCTTCAGGAGCAAATGAAGAGCATCAGAAATGGTAAATATCTGGATAAAAATAAAAGACTATTTTTATCCTCTTAAGTTCTTTAAAAAAGACCTGTGGATGTTTAAAAGAAAATTATAACATTGTTCTTTGGGGTTTTCAATGTATGCAGATGTAATCCATAAGTGTATAATAAAACAAATCAATAAGCTGCTAGGAAATATATAAAACTATTTCAGAGTGTGGTTGGGGGGAGGTGGTTAAAGGGACTGTATGCTTGTGAGGTGTCTATATTTTGCATGAAAATGTACAGTATTCTGGTTGAATTCTGATATATTTTCTTAAATAAAACACTAAAAAAATACAGAGATATATCTTAAAAGTTGATAGAAATATTAAAAGGTAAGATTAAAAATTATTTGTTATATTTTTAAAAGATAAGAAAGAAGAAATAGCAGCAATAACAGCAGAGAGATAGAAAGAATAATAAAATATTGAATGAGATCTGATGATAACAGTAATTATATTAACTATTAAAGGTCTAAACACTGCAATTAAAAAGCAGATGTTGTCAGAGTGGATAAAAAAGGAAGACCAAACTATATACAGCTTACAAGAATTATCTTTTAGGTATAAAAACACACAGGTATGATGAAAGTAAATGAATGGACAAAACTATACCAGGCAAACAATAAGCATTAAAAGCAAGGAATAACTATATTAATATCAGATAAAATAGCTTTCAAGAAAGAGGGTATTATCAGAGATAAAGAGGGATATTTCATAATGTTAAAAGGATCAGGGGAAATGGGTCAAGATGGCAGAGGAGTAGGATGTGGGGCTCACCTTTTTCCTACAAGATACATCAAAAATACATCTACATGTGGAATGACTCTCACAGCACAGCTACTGAATGCTGGCAGAAGACCTCAGACCTCCAAAAGGGCAAGAAAATCTCCATGTAACCAGGTAGGACAAAAGAAAAAAGAAAGAAAAGAGCGAAAATGGAATTGGGATGGAATCTGTGCCCCTGGAAGGGCGCTGTGAAAGAGGAAAAGTTTCCACACACGGGGAAGTCTCCTCACTGGCCAGGAGATCAGCCAGGACAGAGGGGGAGATTTGGAGCCTTGGAGGAGAGCACAGCAACAGGTTTGTGGAGGGCAAAGCTGAGAGAGACCTGCACAGATTAGCGGTGCCAACTGGCATTTCCCAGGCTGAGATGCTTGTCCTTTGGGGCTGGTGGAGGCTGGGTATTGAGGTTCGGGCTTCAGAGGTCAGACACTGGGAAGAGGACTGGGATTGGCTGTGTGAAGACAGCCTGAGGGGGCTAGGGTGCGGTGCACCACATCTGAGGGAATCTGGGAAGAAGATCTCCTTCCCAGAAGAAGGGTGTGCTCGCCATAAGAGTTTCTTTCTCCATGTGCTCTCAAGTGGCAGGGCACCGTCTACATGAGTGGGGGCAGGCGTGAGCCGTCGCTGCCATTTCAGACTCCAGAGGCAGCGCGGACTTCAGCCTCTGTGGAGGTTCCTGTGAACAGGTGCAGGTCACTGCCTCCACCTTCCCAGAAGCTTGTGCAGCCCACCAACACCAAGTGTCCCGCAACCCTGCACCAACCACTGCCCCTGCCTCCCCTGGGGTGCATGTGATCCATACCGCTTCTAAGGGTGCTCTGACCTGGCACCAACCACTGCCCCCACCTTCCTGGGAGTATGTGCAGCCAGCTGCCTTCGCCAAGGGACCCACGACCAGGAGCCAACCGCTGCCCCCGCCTTCCTGGGAACGTGTGTGTGGGCCATGCATCCGCACACCCCTTATCAAGGGGATAATGGCCAGCACAGGCTGAGGAAAGAGATGGCAAGCATCCAAACCAAAAACAGCACTCACACCAAAAAAATTTAAACCCACATAAGCTATGCAGACATGCTCCCACATATAAATAGCCCTCCAACACTATAGTAGATATTTGTTTGTCCTAAACTCACAGAGTAAGAGAAATATAAGCAAAATGAAGAAGCAGAGGAACCACTCTCAGTTAAAAGACCAAGAAAATTCCCCTGAAGGAATAAACAATGAAACAGACCTCTTCAGTCTAACAGACACTGAGTTCAAAAAGGAGGTAATGAAAATACTGAAGGAATTAAGAAAGGCTATCAACAGAAATGCAGATTACTGTAAAAAGGGGCTAGAAACTATAAGGAGGAGCCAAGAACAATTAGAAAATTCATTTGCCAAGATGAAAGCTGAGCTCAAGGCAATGAATAGCAGAACTAATAATGCAGAAGAAAGAATAAGTGACATGGAAGATAGAATAATGGAAATTACCCAGTTTCTAGACAGAAAATTTCATTTGACAGAAAGCCAAATTAAAAAAAAAAAATGAAAGCAATATAAGAGACATATGGAATAATATAAAGCAGGCCAATCTATGCATAACAGGGATTTCAGAAAGAGAAGAAAGAGAAAAGGGGATTGAAAATGTATATGAAGAAATTATGGCTGAAAACTTCCTAAAGCTAAAGAAGGAAACAAATATCCAGATACAGGAAGCACAGAGGGTCCCAAAGAAGATGAACCCTAACAGAACTACACCAAGACATAGTATAATAAAAATGGCAAAGTTAAAGATAAAGAGAGAATTCTAAAGGCAGCAAGAAAAAAACAGAGTTAATTACAAGAGAACCCCCATAAGGCTATCAGCTGTTTTCTCTACAGAAACACTACAGGCCAGAAGAGAGGGGCAAAATATATTCAAAGTCTTGAAAGAGAAAAATCTGCAACCTAGAATACTCTACCCAGCAAGATTATCATTTAGAATACGAAGAGAAATAAAGAATTTCTCAGATAAGCCAAAACTAAAAGAATACAGCAATACTAAACCTATCCTAAAAGTAATATTGAAAGGTCATCTCTAAATAGAAAAGAAGCAGAAAGATATAGGAAGGAGGAAATCACAATTGGAAAGTAAATCACTTAAATTAACCAGGCTACAGATCAAAAAGAAAAAAACTGAAAGCAATGATAAATAAAAGGAACAGCAAAAGGATAAACATGAAGATGTAAACAGGGACATCAAACTCATAAAATGTGGGGAAGGAGAGTAAGAAAATGCATATTCTTTTTTCTTTTTTAGAATGTGTCTAAACATACATGACTATCAGTCTAAAGCAAGCAGATATAGGGAGGGGTTAACATACTTGAAAAACAGGGCAATCACAAATCAAAAATATACAGTAAATTCACAAAAACCAAAAAGAAGAGAACACAAGCATAAAATAAAAGGAAATAATCAAACCATAAAAAGAAAAACAAAAAGAAAAAGAAGAGAACAAAGACTACACTTGATCTTAGCCAAAAGGCCGAGAAGCAATTGAGAACAAAGACTAAACAAAGAATCAACTGGAAAACAAGATCTGAAATGGCAGTAAATACATATGTATCAATAATTACCTTAAATGTCAATGGACTGAAGGCTCCAATCAGAAGACATAGAGTGGCAGACTGGATAAAAAAACAAAAGCCTACAATATGCTGCCTACAAGAGACCCACCTTAGAGCAAAGGACACACATAGTTTGAAACTAAAGGTATGGAAAAAGATATTTCAGGCAAACAGAAATGACAAGAAGGCAGGAGTTGCAATACTCATATAAGACAAAATAGACTTTAAAGTAACGACTATAAAGAAAGACACTATATAATGATAAAAGGATTAATACAAGAAGAGGATATAACACTTATCAACTTATATGCTACATATAAGCATTTAGAATGCTACACCGAAAAAACTGCTGAACACATATTCTTTTCATGTGCACGTGGTACATTCCCACATATAGATCATATGATTAAAAAAAAACAGATCAACAAATTTGAAAGGAATAAAATTATATAGAATATATTCTCTTAACCCAACACAATTAAAAGAAAAGTCAATAACAATAAGATAGGAAAATACAAAGTATTTTGAAATTTAACAACGTACTTTGAAATTTAACAACATACTTTTTTCCTTTTCTTTTGGCAGCGCAGCTATGTGGTATATAAAGTTCCCTGACCAGAGATTGAACCTGTGCCCCCTGCAGTGGAAGTGCAGAGTCCTAACCACTGGACTACCAGGGAATGCCCAACAACGTACTTCTAAATAAATTATAGAGCAAAAAAGAAATTAGAAGGGAAATTAGAAAAGATTTTGAAGTGAAAGACAGTGAAAACACAACATATAAAAATTTGGGGGAGGGGCTTCCCTGGTGGCGCAGTGGTTGAGAGTCTGCCTGCCGATGCAGGGGACACGGGTTCGTGCCCCGGTCCGGGAAGATCCCACATGCCGCGGAGCGGCTGGGCACGTGAGCCATGGCTGCTGAGCCTGTGCGTCCGGAGCCTGTGCTCCGCAGCAGGAGAGGCCACAACAGTGAGAGGCCCGCGTAGCACAAAAAAAACAAAAAAATCTGCTCCCAAAAAAGTACATTAATTTTTTAAAAATTTAAGCAGAGTCGTCAGTGATACACACTGTAACATAGACAGATTCTGCAACTTAAGTTCAGGCAAGTTACTGAGACAAAAACTTTCTGGAAAATAAAGCAGAATCCAGAGTTGCTATATGCTCTCTAAAATGTAGTTTTCAAAAATACTAGTCATGCAAAAAAAAAAAAAAAGAAACAGTGACACATACCAGAAAATAAGATAGTCAGTAGTAACTAACTCTGGGTCCAAATGTTAGACTTAGCAGACAAAGATCTCAAAGCAACTATTAAAGATATGTTTTTAACATTTAAAGAACTTAAGTTTAAAGAACTAATGGAAAACATAGTAGTAACAACTCAACAAAAAAGGAATCTAAATAGAGAAATACAATCTGTAGAAAAAGAACCAAATAGAAATTCTAGAGCTTAAAAATACTGGAAAGTACTGGAATGAAAAATTCACTAGATGGGCTCAGTAGTGAAAAGAAAGACTCCGTGAACTTGAAAATTATTAGAAATACCCCAATGCAAGGAATAGGGAGACAAATTGAAGAAAAGTGATAAAAAAGAATCTCAGAGAACTTTAGGATAGTA